CGTCCGCTGTTTACGGCTGTTGCGATGAACATCAGCGATTTCCGGGTTTACAACAGATTCGTGTACACTATGTCTGTTTCTACGTGTAAATAAATAAGGCAGGTACTTCCCAAGTTTTCATTACAACACTTCTCTTTAACTTCACTTCTTGTTTGTCTGTTTGTCTGTCTGCTACAAATCTTATAATAGATTTTTAACACACTTCTACTTCTCCAATCAATCTGATATTTTGCACACTTGCGTAATGTTGGAGACAATGCATGGATCAATTGACGGAATAAATAATAATAAAAATTTTTTTCAATATTAAAAAATTGAAGAAATAATTTTGTCTGCTACAAATCTTATAATCGATTTTTGGCACACTTCTACTTCTCCAATCTATCTGAAATTTTGCAGACTAGAGTAAAATCGGAGACAATGCACGAATCAATTACAGAATGAATATTTTTGAAAATATAATTTCTTTTGTGTATTAAAATAATTAAAAAATTAATTTTTTAATATTCGAAATTAAAATTAGAAATTCATTGTAAATGTTTTACATTGGGGACACTGGATTTTTTAGAAGTGTTGTCTTTAAAAAGTAATTTTTAAACGTATACGTTTTTATAACACTTCTCTTTAACTTCACTTCTTAATTGTTGTCTGGCTGTCTGTCTGTCACTTGCATAAAATTGGAGACAATGCATGAATCAATTGACAGAAAAAACTATTTGAAAAATAAAAAAAAATTCAATAGGTATTAAAAATATTGAAAAAATAATTTTGTCAACTGCAAATCTTATAACTGAGTAATTTTTAAATGTATATTATTCTTATTTAAAAGTGAAGTTGGAACGCAGAAGTTGAGCTAAAGCAGCAAGTATGGCTGGTCGTATGTGTGTGGTGGCCATATATATAAAGTGTTGTGTCAAGAAGTGCTTTGAATATAAATGGATCGCTCTTCTACAAGCACGAGATTTTACGCTGTTCACCAAAGCTCTCATATTAGATAGCCAAGCCTGTGTTATTTCACTTTCAGTTAATCTCATATTCTCATAACATAACATAACATATTGATCTCGGCGCTGAAGCGTAGGCCTGATGTGGCCTGTCGCCGATTCTTTTCCTTTTCGTGCCTTGTTCACAGAAGTTCTAAAATCGTGTCATTTGACCGGATCTTTTCATGACTGACGATAGTTTGAAGTAGCTACTAGACTTCCACCGAGTTCGATAAGGTGCTAGGCAACATATATTTGTCCATAGCTTTATCTAGTCTGTTCTTGAACCCGTTCATACTTACGCGTTCATACTTGGAGCGCCAACGATGTCATCGGGGAGGCTGTTCCACATGTCGGTGATTCGAAGCGAGAAGAAATTTCGTCGCGTGGAGAAGTTGCAGCGCAGTTTTTTTTATCTCAATGCTATTTTAGAACGTTAAGTAGCCAGTAATACTAGGTTCATTATGAATTACTTTAATATTAGTGGTTCTGTTGATATATTAATGATTCATATATTTAGTTTCATCCAATATTGCGTCTATTCGGTCGAGGTAGGGTACAATCTTCCCAAGTTTTCATTACAACACTTCTCTTTAACTTCACTTCTTATTTGTCTGTTTGTCTGTCTGCTACAAATCTTATAATCGATTTTTAAGACACTTCTACTTCTCCAATCAATCTGATATTTTGCACACTTGCGTAAAGTCGGAGACAATGCATGAATCAATTGACAGAATAAATAATTTTGAAAATATAATTTCTTTTGTGTATGAAAATAATTAAAAATGTAATTTTTTAATATTCGAAATTAAAATTAGAAATTCATTGTAAATGTTTTACATTGGGGACACTTGATTTTTTAGAAGTGTTGTCTTTAAAAAGTAATTTTAAACGTATATTTTTTACAACACTTCTCTTTAACTTCACTTCTTGTTGTCTGGCTGTCTGTCTGTCACTTGCATAAAATTGGAGACAATGCAGGAATTGATTGACAGAATAAACTATTTGAAAAATTAGAAAAAAAAATTTCAATAGGTATTAAAAATATTGAAATAATAATTTTGTCAACTACAAATCTTATACCGGTAACTGATATTTGGCACATTTTTTACCTGTCCAGCTAGTTGATCTGAAAATTTGCACACTTGTGTGAAGTTGGAGGCAATGCATGAATCAATTGACAGAATAGATAATTTTGAATAAGTCTTTTATTTATTACAAAAAAATGAAAAAATTAATTTTTTAATATTCGAAAATAAAATGAGAAATTTATTGTATATGTGTAACATTGGAGGCACTGGATTCCTTAGAAGTGTTAACTTTAAATAGTAATTTTTAAATGTATATTATTTTTATTTAAAAGTGAAGTTGGAACGCAGAAGTTGAGCTACAGCAGCAATTGTGGCTGGTCTTATGCGTATGGTGGCCATATATATTAGTGTTGTGTATTGCTGAAATGCTGGCAATGCCATTGTTGAACTAATGAACTTCAACCACGAGCAAAACCCTCCAATCAAGCCAGCAGGCAATTTTTGCACCAATTTATTCATCATCGATTGCGAAACAACTCTAATTGGCTTATCCTTCAATTTGAAATGTTTGAAATTTGAATCAAGTTTGAAAATTAATTGTATTGATACTTTAAGCGAAAACGATGAATGTTCGTTGCCCGATGGACCTCAGATTGACAATAAAGTTGTCTGCTGTCTCGAGACGCCATATATAGAGGTTTGTCAGATTTCGTATCCACAACACCGGACTATTTAAAGTCTGGTCTCAAAATTCGTCTTCCTCCTTGATTTTCTTGGAAATTTCGATTGAACTTGTTGAACATGTCGGACTGGTAATACGCCCATCCTGTCTACGCCGCTTGCATGGATCCCTGGGATCCCCGCTACTGGCGAGCGAAACAGGACCTCACTAGATCTATAGTGAGGCCCGAGCTGAGCCAAAGCAATGCGCCGCCCCCGAAGAGATGGAAGAGATTCACCGCATTCTTGCGGAAACTCTTCTGTGGCTGTTGCAGGCCAAGCGGCGGGAGCGACGGTGGCCGGTGAATGGTAGCACACAATTCTTAAGGAGTTGGGGCGCTGCTGAGGGGGGGGGGGTCCTTCGGGATCCAAAAATAAAACATCCTACCTCCTGAGGGGGGAGGGTCCTTCGGGATCCAATGAATAAAACATCCTACCTGCTGTGGAGGCTACGATCATTGGAACACCGTCAATCCTAGCTGCGGCAGTTGGCCTACTTGAGGTAATATGCGGAACATTCTTTTCCCCAAAAGGACGATTGTTTTTGTCCGATGTATAGTATCTCACATTACACATAAAGTTGTCTGCTATTTCGAGAGACCATGTATAGAGGTTTGTCCGCCACTGGTCTGTTTTTACAACACTTCTCTTTAACTTCACTTCTTGTCTGTTTGTCTGCTACAAATCTTGTAATCAAAATTTAACACACTTCTTCTTCTTTAACGCGTTTGAAATTTTGCACACTTGCGTAAAGTTGGAGGCAATGCATGAATCGAATGGCAAAATAGAATAAATTTTTTTTCATTATTAGAAAAACGGAAAAATTTTTCACACTTGTGTGAAGTTCGAGACAATGCATGAATCAATTGACAGAATAAATAATTAAAAAAATTTATATATTAAAAAAATTTTAGAATTTAATTTTTTTAATATTCGAAAATAAAATGAGAAATTAATTGCACACCTTTAACATTGGAGGCACTGGATTCTTTAGAAGTGTTGTCTTTAAAAAGTAATTTTTAAACGTATATTATTTTTATCCATGTTAAATTTGTCGCGCTTTTTCCATGTCGTGTTAAATATTTTTAAAAATTTACCTAACCATTTAAAGAATTTGATGTGTTAAAATCATCACTCCATATAATTTATGTATGTTTTGAGTGTTCAAATTAGCGAAGTATTGAACTGGTTATGTTCGTTTTTTTCGCCTCCTTTTGTGTTTGGGTTTTGGTGCTTTATGAAGTAAGATGAAGCGTAATTAATTTTCACCCTTATACATAGATATTCTTCTAATGGTGGTACATACAACGATGATATAACGCCCCATATGGGGAGCGCAGATGTAGACCCAAATTTTTGAATAATCATCACCCGCAATGTAACGCCCAGTCTCTTTCCGTACGACTTAATATCAGCCGTGCATTATCTCTGCTATCAGTAACCAGTCCACGACGTGATCTTGCTTTTAAATATTATGGGCTTTACACCACCGAATACGGGGGTGGATAACCTAGAGTGTATTAACTGCCTACCATTAAACGTTACAGCGAAACATAACTGCATTATCTTACTAGCACTAGTACTGTACCCAGCCTACAGAGTGCATGCTGCTTCATGGCCCTCCTGAAGTGTTATATACAGCCTGCCTAACACCACCACGCGGAAGATCGAAAATGCCTTCCGTTATCTATAATAAATATAAGAGTACGATACTGTTAACTGTCAGAATCTGAGGTTATATGTTTCAGATCGTAAAGTTACGTTCCAAGATCAATCGACCTTTCTGACGATTGGCCTTTTGATCGGATGCTGATTGGAAGCAGAGGATGAACAGAAAATTGGCAGCTGGCAATGCTGGATTGAATGTGTTATGAATGAATGTGTCTTGTGAGTGTAAAAAAATTTCATTTGTAGGCGGACGATTCTCGGTCATACTGTTCCCAGCTTGTTTGGTGCACATGTAAGTCAAAAGATATGTGGCTTGTATAGCCGATAACGCGATAGACCAGAATTATTGGAAGTCACTTTGTTTGAATCATTTTGGTCCATGCGGTGTTACGCAGTGTTGGTTTCCGACAGGCAACACCTAACAAGCACATGATTTTTTCAGGTGATAGTTTGGATTTACTTTTTTGAGTGGTACTGACCTACCAGTAGCAGAACACGAGCATGTACATCGGCTAGAGTAATTATAACTATTTTTTAGAGAAAATTATGTCTTTCCAAGTGAGCTAAGTCAGCATTAACCTCGGCATCTGTGTTTCAGATGTACCACTGGCAGAACGAAAATGTGGGCGCCAACAAGGGCGGTAAGAAGAGCAGCGTGGACGACATGGTGCTGCTCACCAAGATCAACGAGGACGCCATCACTGACAACATCAAGCGTCGCTTCATGGACGATATGTGCGTCCATTGACACCTCTTATCATATACTATCTGTGAACGCTGCTCGTCCTTATCTCAGGATATATATATACATTTTATCATGATATTGTGTGTGGCGGACGATAACATAAAATCACTGACACCTTTTATTCCTGCACTTACCTTGACTTGGTCTCATTTAATCTTACTTGACGACATCCACTACATAGTTTGTTTGTCGAGGTCCCAACCCAACTAGCGAAATTCTGATAGCTATTCCATTGAGTTTTTACACGATTTTTACTGAGCTTCAGCTCCTGCTTCACTTGGTTTCTCTCTCTTCAATCTCACTCACTATAGGCTTCCACTCCCTTTCTACCAGTTCTTCACTCCTATTTTTCGACACTCACGTAGTTTCGCTGTTTCTTTAACTTGTTTCATTGTTGTTGTTTTTGAAGTTGCTTCTATTCCACTTTGTTTCAAAGTACTCCCATTTTACTCTCCTTTTGTGTCCACTTCATTTAAACTTTAATTTTCTTCTGACTGTTACCAAATCATTGAAACTTTCCCTTAACTTATCCTTTGCCAATTCACTGAAACTTTCACTCTCCTCTTCTCGTGTCCAATTCCTTGAAACTTTCGATTTCCTCTCCGTGTCTACGTACTTCATTGAAATTTTACCTTTCCTCTTGCCGGCTCCAATTCATTAAATTTCTAGCTTTTCTCCCACGGTGCCCAATTCGTCGCTTCCTGTGCCGAATGCCTTTATTAATTGAATTTTTCTTATTCCTCCACCCATGTCTTCGTCTCTAACCAATTATCACTCACATGTTCAGTATCTACACGTACATCGGGCCGGTGCTGGTGGCGGTGAACCCGTTCAAGCAGCTCGGATGTTTCACGGAGCGCGAAGTGCGACTTTACCAGGGCGCCGCGCAGTACGAAGTCCCGCCCCATATATTCGCGCTCGCTGACAACATGTACCGCAACATGCTTATTGATGGTGACAGCCAGTGCGTCATTATCAGGTGCGTGACTGTACCGCAACATGCTTATTGATGGTGACAGCCAGTGCGTCATTATCAGGTGCGTGACTGTACCGCAACATGCTTATTGATGGTGACAGCCAGTGCGTCATTATCAGGTGCGTGACTGTACCGCAACATGCTTATTGATGGTGACAGCCAGTGCGTCATTATCAGGTGCGTGACTGTACCGCAACATGCTTATTGATGGTGACAGCCAGTGCGTCATTATCAGGTACGTGTACCGCAACATGCTTATTGATGGTGACAGCCAGTGCGTCATTATCAGGTACGTGTACCGCAACATGCTTATTGATGGTGACAGCCAGTGCGTCATTATCAGGTACGTGTACCGCAACATGCTTATTGATGGTGACAGCCAGTGCGTCATTATCAGGTGCGTCGCAGAGAGCTTGTTAATCTGTTCTCAATTACATTTTGTTCACGATACTACTAGATATATTATTTGACGTAAAATCCTTATTTGAGGGTTACAGTTTTGGCTTTCATCCGAATAAAACATCGATGCGTTTTCATTTGTTTATATTTTTATTTTGATTTTTTTTTATTTCAATGTCAGTGAGTTTCCTTTAGAAGAGTTTGCCGTTATGATCTCTAGATCCGCTCTTAACTATAGCGCATTGCGTATCTTATGATTTTGCGAAATGTCCTAAAATGGTTACGACGTTGGAATTTGATATCATTATGGAACGAATAGAATTTTTCAAAAAACACAGTTTAACATCGACCCCAACTTATGTTATTGCTTGTGTAGCGATATTAGAATAGAGGATGGTGTGATAGGGTGGTATATTAATTGATTATTATTAGTCAGCTAAAGTTTCCTGGTACGTTTTTTTTCTCACCTATGAGCTTTTAAAACATTCTGCGTTCTGAAATCGGACAAAAATTTGAGTGGTCATCTGCTTGTGCAGATTATAACTCTTACATCACACAGGCGTCTGGCCCGGCCTGAGTTGCGTCAAGAGCGTTTAAGCTCTTGATAACCTGGCATATTTAGCATACGTTAATGGTGATTCAGAGCACTATAACTGAAAGTGTTTTCTTCTTACGAGTCAATTTTTGGAGAAAAAACAGAGATGAGCGCCTCATTGATAATTCGGTTGTTGGGCGTGTCGTATTTAAGGCGGTCGATGTGTGTCGTGTTCACCACGATCGTTGCTTGTGTGTCGTGTTCACCACGATCGTTGCTTGTGTGTCGTGTTCACCACGATCGTTGCTTGTGTGTCGTGTTCACCACGATCGTTGCTTGTGTGTCGTGTTCACCACGATCGTTGCTTGTGTGTCGTGTTCACCACGATCGTTGCTTGTGTGTCGTGTTCACCACGATCGTTGCTTGTGTGTCGTGTTCACCACGATCGTTGCTTGTGTGTCGTGTTCACCACGATCGTTGCTTNCACGGCTATCGTTTTGTCGTGTCCTCTAATATGTTTTATCCCCCCGCTGGCAGTGGCGAGTCAGGTGCAGGCAAGACGGTGTCAGCCAAGTTCATCATGCAGTTGCTTGTGTGTCGTGTTTACCACGGCTATCGTTTTGTCGTGTCTTCTAATATATTTATCCCGCTGGCAGTGGCGAGTCAGGAGCAGGCAAGACGGTGTCAGCAAAGTTCATCATGCAGTACATGACGCAGATCAGCGGGGGCGGCGCGCGTCTCCAGCACGTCAAGAACATCATCCTGAGCTCCAACCCGCTGCTTGAAGCCTTCGGCAACGCCAAGACTACGCGCAATAATAACTCATCCAGATTTGTGAGTAATCTTGTGAATGTATTTTGAATGATGAGATGCGATCAATTATGCACTTTTTCGTAAATCATTAGTGTGTAAATTCATTTATTACTTTCTTCATTAATAGATTTGTAATATTAATATAATCTATATAAATAAACAATATCAATTGTAACCGCTTTACCAGATTCGTTTGAAAGTTGGTCATTTCTGCTTTTTCAATAAACATTGCTCGCATTTTTACGTCTTTTTACGTTGTGTCGGTGATATTTAGTAGGTACCACAATTTCATAGTAGTCCTCATATATGATTTTTTTTTGTAAAATCGAACTCTTTTGTTTGTGTGCGTCAGGGCAAGTACATCGAAATCCAGTTCTCGCCGGGCGGGGAGCCGCTGGGCGGTAAGGTGTCCAACTTCCTGCTGGAGAAGTCGCGCGTGCATTTCCTCAACCCCCACGAGCGAAACTTCCACATATTTTACCAGGTGCCTGTCATCTTGCTTACCTTGTTTCGTTTACGTTCATGAAATATGTATTTCTGTATGCGAATCATACAATAGTATTGGCAAAAGAGAAATATATAATGCCCGCAACGAACATATTGTGTACAAAGGAGGATCGGTAAGTACATATATAACATATGTATACTCCTAACGAGGCATTTATCCCGTTACTTGGCCGCACATTCTTCGGTGGACGTTTCTCCTTCAGTACAGACACATTAAAACTAATAAAAATGTTTTCCGCGCTCGAATCCCGGAGCGTATCACTTTTATAACGGANGTGGACGGCGTCGACGACGACGCAGACTTCAGAGAGACCATCAGTGGTGGGACGATAATTTAATTTGATTGCTTGTAATATAATTTATTTATTTAAACTGATTTTGTTTATTTCAATGTAACTTGTATATTTTAATTTAATTTGTTTAATAAAGTTTACGGGGACTTGTGATTACTTCGGTACTCTTACACGAGCCCGCATTATTCAGATGTGGCCCAGTGGTTACAGTTCAGAGTACCAAGATTTGGCGCAGAGAGGCGCGGGTTCGATCCCAGCTCTGTGCGCCAGTTTCTGGTCAGAATCGGCGAGGTTAATACAGCAGAATTGTAGCAGTGAGTTGTGAGTTCGAGACCGCAACCAGCTGTGAATGTTCTGCGTTGTTAAGAATCCGAGACAAGCCTACGGCCCAATAAACGCTGAAACCGCTATATTATTATTATTAGATTATTATAGAATATTGGGCGTTGAATGGGCGAGGATGTTTCTACTAATTTTATCTACTGATAAATGAACCGACGTCAATGTTATTCGTACCTACGGTCCTGGTAACAATGCTATTCGTACCTGAACTCCTGGTAACAATTCGCAGCAGAATTGTAGCAGTGAGTTGCGAGTTCGAGACCGCAAAATGCTGTGAATGTTCTGCGATGTTAAGAATCGGCGACAGGCCTACGGCCTATAATGAACGCTGAAACCTCTATATTATTATCATTATTATTTTATTATAGAACACTGCGGTGTTGAGTGGGCGAGGATATTTCCATTAATTCTATCGAATGATAAATTAACAGACGTCAATGCTCGTCGTACATAAACTCCCGGTAACAAAGATTACCGTCGCCGTACAAAAAGTTGATGTGCACATTTCGAAATTGTTGTTCTAACTCAATTTTCACAATCGATTCTGAAGTTTCGGTCATTCATTGATTTATTTTTATAATGTTTTTGCTTATGGTTATTGCCATCATTAAGTTATTGTCATAAGTATGTTATTGTCATTATTATGTTATCATCAAAATTAAGTTTTTGTCTTTATTATGTCACAGTGATAAGATTTGAAGACTTGATACATCGAAAATATGTAATTGTAATGTGAAGGTTTTCTTATTTATATTGTCTTTTGAAGTTTTTTTTATACAGTGGGGGGAAATAAATATTCGTACACTTGAAAAATCGTATTTTAATGTATGTAAGTACACAAACTTAACAGGAAAAGTGATTTATATTATGTATAGAGACGCATAGTATTCAAAAATACTATCAAAAGAAATTAAATCTCAATGCAACAAAAAACAATGCAACATGTTCACTTTTCGGGT